AAGGGAAGGGAAGGGAAGGGAAGGGAAGGGAAGGGAAGGGAAGGGAAAGGGGGGGGAAAAATTGGTAAAACAGAATATCCTCTCAGCAGATCCCTGTGTCCAGAACCCCGGGTCTCCTCTCAGGATCCATTCCGACGCGATCCCACCCCCCCCCCCCCCCCCCCGTCGTTCTAAACTCCCGTTCCTGACCTGCTCCCCCTCCCTGTGCGAGACAACCACACCCCCCACCCCGCTCCCAGGGAATCGGCCGATGGAACCCGTCTCTGAACTGCCTCCTCGTGGTGAGTCTATCCCCCCCATTAGTGAGGAGGCAGGAATTGACACAGTTCTCTAGGTGGAGGGGGGGGGGGGGGGTCTCAACCACACCCAGCAGAACTTCCTCAGCTGCCCCCTAACCTCACAATAAAGGCCAAAATTTCATTTGCCTTCCAAATTACATGCTGTACCCAAGCACTAACTGGCTGTGGTTCACGTACAAGAACATTCAGTCTTCTGTCACCATTCAAATAACATCCTGCAGTCCTGTTCTTTCTGCCAAAGACGCATAACTCGACATTCCTCCTTCCCCCACACCCAAATCTGCCACGAAGGGTCAGTTCACTAGACCTGCCCGTCTGTCTGTCCCTCCCCGCGGACTCTCTGTCCTCTCCTCATAACCTGCTCTCCCGCCTATCTTTGTGCTGCCATCAAAACCTGGCCCTCAGCCCCTTTGGCCGGGATTGTACGCTATCGCGGCACCAGCACCAAGTACAGACTGCTCGCTTGAAACGGCGAAAAAAATTCTGCAGAGGGACCTGGGTGCACGAACCACAGAAAAGTTGGTTTGCAGGTGCAGCAGGTAATTAAGAAAGCAAATGGAATATCTGCCCTTCATTTGCTAGAGGGATGGAGTTTAAAAGCAGAGAGGTGGATAGGATGATGGCGAGGACACACCTGGGAGTACTGTGTACAGTTTTGGTCTCCTTACTTGAGAAAGGATGTACTGGAGGTAGTGCACAGGAAGTTCACTAGGTTGATTCAGGAATTGAGAGTCACTGAGTAACACAGCACGGAAACAGGCCCTTCAGCCCATGCTGCCCACTCAGCCAGTTCCAATTGCCTGCATTTGGTCCATATCCCTCTAAACCCTTCCCATCCAAATTTTTTTAACCGCTGCTATTGTACCTGCCTCAACCACTTTCTCTGGCAGCCCATTCCATATACTCACCACTCTCCGCGTGAAGAAGTTGTCCCTCAGGTCCTTCTTAAATCTTCCCCCTCTCCCCTTAAACCTATGCCCTCTAGTTTTCAATTCCCCATCCCTGGGAAAAAGACTAAATGCATTCATCCTATCTATGCCCCTCATGATTTTATACACCTGAATAAGGTCACCCCTCATTCTCCTACGTTCCAAGGAATAAAGTCCTATCCTGGCCAACTTCTCCCTATAGCTCAGGCTTACTAGTCCTGGCAACATCCTCGTAAATCTTCTTTGCACACTTTCCAGTTTCACCATGTCTTTCCTATAACAGGGTGACCGAAACTGTACACAATACTCCAAGTGCGGCCTCACCAATGACATATACTGCAGTAACATAACGTCCCAACTCCCATACTCAATGTCTCGACCGATTAAGGCCAGCATGCTAAATGCCTTCTTCACCACCCTGTCTACCTGTGACGCTGCTTTCAACGAACTATGTACTTGTACCAATAGGTCTTTCTGTTCCACAGCACTCCTTAGGACCTTACCATTTACTGTATAAGTCTTATCTTGGTTTCCAAAGTGCAACATCTCATGCTTATCTGTATTGAATTACATTCGCCGAACCTCAGCCCGATTCCCCATCTGATCAAGATCCCCTCTGTAATTTTTGATAACCTTCCTTGCTATCAACGATGCCTATTAATTTTGTATCATCCGCAAACTTCCTGATCATGCCTTGTACATTCACATCCAGATCACTTATGTCAATAACAAAAAGTCCCAGCACCAAGCCCTGCTGAGGCACACCACCAGTCACAGGCCTCCAGTCCGAGAAACAACCTTCAACCATCACCCATAGATAGTAGGAGCTGCCGATGCTGGAGAATCTGAGATGACAAGGTGTAGAGCTGGATGAACACAGCAGGCCAAGCAGCATCAGAGGAGCAGGAAGGCTGATGTTTCGGGCCTGGACCCTGGGTGCCCTTTATCCCCTAACCTGCCTGGTTGGTACACTCAAAGAAAATGCTTTCATGCAGATCAGCTGACGTCCCTTCCGCAGAGAAGCAAGGCCCGGCGCTCTGCAGATTTTCTGAGCAACAACCCCCACCCCGATCGAACTCCTGACTGACAGATGTCAAGAAGGACTGGTTACACACTTCCCTGAATCGACCCGTGTGTGCGTGTGTATTTCTTCTTTTTTTTAAGAACTGCTCCAGCAACACAGTCAGATTTTCCTGTCACGTACGTTTCACCCCCACCCCCCTCCAAACAGCGATTTCGAAGATGCTTTTCGCCTTGCACGCAGCGTTTCCCACCTGATAACTCAGCATGGTCACGTCACATGCAAACATGACACCCCCCCAACTACCTGTTCGAGAAAGGAATGGGTGGGGGGGGGTTAGAGTAGGAAATGGACAGGGGGCCCAACATGTGTCACAGGCGAGAAGCGTTTACTAAGGAGACCGGGAGATGTCGGGGGGGGGGGGGGGGGCGGAAAGGGGGAAAATCGACCATGTTTGGAGAACTCAAAATCCTGTTCGACAGAAGCTTCGCGACTCAGTTTGCACGGTCACGATCAGAGTCACACAGAACGGAAACAGACCCTTCGATCCAACTCGTCCATGCCAACCCATATATCCTAAATTAATCTAGTCACATTGGCCCACCATTTGGCCCCTATCTCTCTAAACTCTTCCTATCCATGTATCCATCCAGATGCCTTTTAAAAGTTGTCATTGTACCAGCCTCCACCGCTTCCTATGGCAGCTCGTTCCATACACGCACCACCCTCTGCGTGAAAACGTTGCCCCTCAGGTTCCTTTCCCCACTCACTTTAAACCTATGCCCCTCTAGTTTTGGACTCCCCTATCCCAGGGGGGAAAGACCTTGGCTAACTAGGCAAAAAGGGAACTAGCAAGTCCCTAGGACACAGGGGTAGCGGGCAGACATTTGACCTGTAGTTCAACCAGATCACAGCCAGTCCGGTCGCCCTCAACTCTACCTTCCTGCCTTATCCCCATAACCCCTCGAATTCCCTTTCTAATTAAAACTCTCTCGAAATACAACTCCTTGATACCCCTTCCTGATTAAACATCGCCCTATCCCAGACTTGAATATAACCCCTCGATCCCCCTTCCTGATTAAAAATCTCTCTCAGCGCCTCAAATATAACCCCACGGTTCCCCTTCCTGAGGAATAAAAACTCTCTCAGCCTGGAATACATTTAATGACTCAGCTTTGACAGTGAACGTAGTGTACTTTAGATTTCCAGAAGGCAGTCGATAAGGTTAGTAATCTGTGGTTAGTGCAGCACCACAACGGGTCAGCGCTGGTACCTCGGTTATATTGGAACGCTGGCCAAAAGGACCGAGTATGGCCTCTCTAGATTTGGTGCCAGTACAAGAGGGAGGTAGACAAAGCGGGTTACAAGGAGGGTACAAGGGATCTTCAAAAGGGGCCGGGGCAGGGGAGGTTGAGCAAACAGGCCAAAAACACAAAAACAAAACTCTGCCAGATGGGAGTGCAATGTGAGGTTACCCACATTGGCAGGAAGGATGGAAAAATGACTTAACTGGAGAACGTGGCAGCACAGAGGGAGCTGCGGGAGTCCCGGGACATGATGTACAAAGGTGTGCCGAAGCAGCGCAGTGGGACAGAAGGTGCCTGTCCCCTGGGGCTGATATATTGCCATGCTGTGTCAGTCACCTGCCCAGCAGCTGTTGTTACATTAAACCCCGGATCAACTTCCCCTTTCCCGGGATGTTCCTGGTACAGAGAAGGTCAGGGATCGGGGCAGTGGGGATGTGGCTGCCGTAACAGGGAGAGCAGCGACTCCTCACAATACAAGAGGGGCTGGTTGGGGAATGGGGGGGGGGGGGCGGCGGGGGGGGGAGGGGGGGAGGGGGATACTGACACTTGGGCAGTGGCAATGGGCCATTGCCAGGCCTGCCTTTGTTGATCGGGGAATCGAGTACAAGAGACAGGATGTTACGTTGCAGCTTTGTAAGACTATGGTTGGGCTGCACTGTTAGAGAATATTATGTTCAATTCTGGTCACCACATTGCAGGAAGCATGTGCAGACTTTGGAGAAAGGTGCACAAGAGGTGTAGCTGCCTGGATTAGAAGTTACGAGCTGTAAGAAGAGGCCGAACAAACTTGGGTCGTCTTCTCTGGAGTGGCGGAGGCCGAGGGAGACTCGATAGAAGTCCGTAAAATTACGAGGTCGGAGTTCAGAATCTCTCTCAACAAACCCTCCAGCCTTCCCAAGAGTTGAAATGATTAATACTATGGGGCATGCATTTAAGGCGAGAGAGAAAACGTTTAAACCAGACGAGAGGGGCGAGGTTTTTTCACACACACACACACACACACACACACACACACACACACACAGAGTGGTAGGAGTCTGGAATGCGCTGCGGGGGGTGGAGGCAGGTACGATAGGGATGTTTACGGGACTTTACGCTAAGCACATAGATATGCAAGGAATGGAGGGATACGGACCAAGGGCAGGCAGAAGGGATTAGTTTCATTTGCGCAACGCCGTGGGCCGAAGGGCCTGTTCCTGTGCCGTGCTGTTCGGGAAACGCGAGGACAAGGATTTCAAGGAAGGTATCTTTCTGGAGTGAGTCACGCGAGCCTGGGCTCACTTCCTGTGAACCGATCGCAGAGGCAGCAAACAAGAAACCATAAGGCTGACAGCTGGCCAGGCACTGGAGTCAACCTCGATGAGGGACGGGCTTCAAGTCGGATCCCGTTTCACAACTCTGCATATTGCAACACCGAGAGCAAATAAGGACTTAAAACGCTTCGGCTCTCAGCCGGGGCAAATCACAACTCTCGCCGTTGCACAACCGGGGCCAGCAAGGGCTTCCAAGAGCGATGCACGTGTGAAAACAGCTGACCTGTACACGTGAAACTCAGTCCGTCACCTCCCGAGACAGTTCCCTCCCGATGATGGAGCTGGGCTGCCAGCTGGTGGCGACTTCCTGTATTGCAGCTCTTCTGTGGAAATCACCTTTTAAACTGAAACTTTGAAAAGCTCCCCCTAACTCTCTGAAACTAAACTGAAAGTAAAGCTCTCCTTATTCTGTAATCTGATAAAGCTGCTTCCACTCAAGGTGACAGAAATGCTTCCTCTTCACTTTTATAAACTGAAACTACTGCTCCCTCTACACTGACCCCATCAAACACTCCCTGGACAGGGACAGAACTAGGTTAGATACAGAGTAAAGTTCTCTCTACTCTGTCCCCATCAAACACTCCCTGGACAGGGACAGCATGGGGTTAGATACAGAGTAAAGCTCCTTCTACACCGTCCCCATCAAACACTCCCAGGGACAGGGGTTAGATACAGAGTAAAGCTCCCTCCTACACTGTCCCACATCAAACACTCCCAGGGACAGGACAGCACAGGGTTAGATACAGAGTAAAGCTCCCTCTACACTGTTCCCCCCAAATATTCCCAGGGACAGGGACAGGGACAGGGACAGCACGGGGTTAGATACAGAGTAAAGCTCCCTCCGACACCGTCCCACATCAAACACTCCCAGGGACAGGGACAGCACGGGGTTAGGTACAGGTCAGAGGAGGAGAAACGCAGCAAGCGTGGCACTCACAACCAGAGCAGCAAGGCAAAGCCTGCGATGTAGAGGTTCCTCTGGGCACGGAACAGCTTCATGTGGACGTGGTCCTCGGCCACTGGGTTGTTCTTTAGGTCCACCTTGTCTGGAACACTGTACTTCTGAATCTCGCGGATCGCATCTGCAAGGTGAGGTGGGAATGAAAGAGAGAGAGGGTGAGCGCGATATTCCCATAATCCTGAATTCTGTTTTGTCAGGACAGCACGGCTTGGGTGGTGTTTCCCCTGGGGTTTAGCAGAACGAAAGGAGACACATCAGATTCTGAGAGAGTGGGGCTTGACAGGGTTGGGGGCCGAGAGGGTGTTTCAGCCCCTGGCAGATGTGGGAAACTTTCCTTAAGCCCTTGCGTCCCAGGGTCACTGTTGTCGAGTTTTATTTGGTGGGGGTTTGTGGTCATTCGCGCATAAGATCCCACAAAACCAAGCCAGGCGGTATGACTCCATCGCGTTTCTTTCAGGAGGAATTGCTGCTCAACGAGTAAATGTTAATACCGTTGTCTGCATTTTCAAACCCATTGTTGCGCCTATCTCCCCCCCACCCTCATCTCTGTCACACACTGCTCCCCCGACCCCTGTCACACACAAATAAATACTCTGTGACATTGATGTACTGTCATTAGACTAGTCATCGAGAACTCTCTGACATAATATAGTGAAAGGCTGAATAGGCTGGGGCTATTTTCCCTGGAGCGTCGGAGGCTGAGGGGGTGACTTTATAGAGGTTTAAAAAATCATGAGGAGAATGGATAGGGTGAATAGCCAAGGTCTTTTTCCCCCAGAGTACGGGAGTCCAAGACTAGAGGGGCATAGGTTTAAGGTGAGAGAGGGGAAAGGGGCCTGAGGGGCAACTTTTTCACGCAGAGGGTGGTGCGTGGAAGGAACAAGCTGCCAGAGGAAGTGGTGGGGTCTGGTACAATGACAACATTTAAAAAGCATCTGGATGGGTACATGGATAGGAAGGGTTTAAGAGGGATAGGGGCCAAATGCTGGCAAATGGGACTAGATTAATTTAGGATTTCTTGTCAGTGTGGACTGGTTGGACAAAGAGTCTGCGTCCGTGCTGTACGGCTCTATTCAGGGGACACACGTTCGAATCCCACCATAGCAGATGTCAAAACTCGAATTTATTTAAAAAAAAAATCTGGTTCAGCCTCTCCCTACAGCTCAAGTCTTCCAACCGCAGCAACATCTTTGAAAGCTTTTTCTGAACCCTTTTAAGTTTCACAACATCCTTCCAATAGCAGGGAGACCAGAACTGAACGCAGTATTCCAAGAGTGGCCTCACCAATACAGCCACAACATGACCCTCCCCACTCCTACAGTCAACGCACCGACCAATAAAGGCAAGTGTACCGAACCCCCTCTTCACCGCCCTATCTACCTGCGACTCCACTTTCAAGGAACTATGTACCAGACCCCAAGGTCTCTCTGTTCAGCAACACTCCCCCAGGACCTTACCATTAAGAGTACACTTCCTGCCCTGATTTGCCTTACCAGAATGCAGCACCTCGCATTTATTTAAATCAAACTCCGTCTGCCCCTCCTCGGCCTATTGGCCCATCTGATCAAGGTCCCATTGTTAACATCAAAGACCTCTCCCACCGCCGTAATGATCTCCTACAACCTCCTCCATCAGGCAGAAGATACAGAAGCTTGAACGTACACACCAGCAGGTTCAAGAACCGCTTCTTCCCTGCCGTTATTAGACTAAATGGATTCTTCTAACTTCAAGATAATGTTGATCTCGCTTCGTGCGCCTCCGATGCATTTGTAACCTTGTATGCCTGGCTTTAAGCACCCTTATGTATGCCCTGGTTTGCTGTGATCTGCCTGCACAAAGCTTTTCACTGTACTTCAGTATATGTGACTACAACAAATCAAACTGCATCACTATACTCTGTACTTCTTCACTGTGCACTACACCAATTTTTGGAATTGCAACATACTGATAACGGTGAGACGTTCTGTACCAGGGCGGTTATGGGTGGTCACTGGGTGTGGGGGGAGGATGGTGCAAATGTGACTCCTTGCCAGCCACTCTCCCCCGATGAGGCACCCTCCTCCTCCTCTACCTCCCTCTGGCCAACATCCTCAACCTGTTCATCGTCCCGAGTGACCACATCCTCGAGGGTTGAGGAGCAAGAGCTGTGTACCAGAACAAGTCAGAGGGCTCTAAGAGAAGGATGTACCAAACTAAGAAAGCTAAGGTTGGCATCAAATTGCTAAGTACGAGTGTGCGTATGAGTGGTACAATCGGCAGTCTGGAAAAAATTTCTAAAAAATAGCTGAGCTCGGCTTTTAAAAGGGGAGGGAACTAGTAAGCATAAAGTCAGACTGTAAAAGCTTCTTCAGTCGCTTAAAAGGAAAAGAGTAGCTCGAGTTAACGCCAGCGGATGGAGGAGGGGAAGTTGTCAAATATGAAATAAGGAGGGGACTCGGGACAAGTATTTCACGTCTGCCTTTGGAATAAAAGGCTCCAAAAGGCTTTTCAACACAAGAAGAAAAAAGCAGGGGCAAAGAACAAATGAACTTAAAACCTTCACTAGATTAAAAAAAAACACTCGATACCGTGAAAACGGGAGTGGGATTCAAAAACAGGTGAAACAACCACATACCCCAGGGAACATTGAAGCTACACCCCTCACTCCACAATCAACTGGCACCTACCAAACATCAGGAAAACAAGGAGGGCGATGAGGAAAAAGAAGAATTTATTGCCGTACGACACCACTAAGTTGAAGAGTCCTGAACGGAACAGTTTCTGCCATCTGCAAGAATAGGGATACAAATCTGGTTAGAACCGCAGTGCGCTCATCAACGGCCCAGCCACAGACAGGGGCATTCCACACTCTTGGGACGCCGACACAGTGGGGCAGCATGTTTGAGTTGCACTTAGCTGGTTCTGGAGACCCCAGCCCTTCAAGGCGGGCAGTAGCGAGAGACATCCTAGTTCGGATAGCTGGGCTGTTAGGGCAGCCACGCCAATGCACTGAGCTTCAACAAGTCGCTCGGAAAGCAACAGAAAGGTTTGAAGCCTTCGCGGCTGGAAGCTGTGCTCCAGACTCAGGCCACTCAGTCCCAAGGGAAGCTGCAGAGCCGCGCTGGCTGGCTTTCAGGATACCGTGCAAAATTCCTGCCCAATCTGAACCACTTGGCGCTCCACCAACCCCCAACCACCACCATCGCTAACAGTGCATGCTCCTCCAGCCTAGACCCCGATGGCGGACTGATGGGATTTCTGGGAGGGGGGTGCTCCACAGGCAAGTATCGGAGGAGCACAGAGATCTCAGAGCATTAACAGCGTTACCGGCGAGTGGCATAGGCACCCCGCACAGAGCCACAGGATGAAAATCACATACAATGCTTCCTGGAGCTTGGTTTGGGGCGGGCAGTGGAGGAAGGGGGAAACATTCGCCGGTGAGGAGAGAGCGAGTCGAGGGTGGTGGATTGACAGTGCCCAGAGTTTGGAAGAACGCAGAGAAAGGAGAGGCTGTTCCTTGCTTTCCCCTAACCTCCAGGCCTGAGCTGCAGAGTGCTAAACACAAAGCGGGGACACAGCGAGAGAGACCGAACGACAGACAGCCTCGAGGGTGGGGGGTGAATGGCCTCCCATTCCGGTACGCGAGAACCTGACTTTAAAAAAAAAAGGGAGAAACGCAAAACGACTCACTGTTTCGCAGAAACGAATGGAATGCACATCAACAGCAACGCAAACACCTCGACGTAAAGAAAGCCAGCTACGGCTGTCCATTGTAGACTCATAGTGACAGCAACTATAGGGGAGTGAGACACATGGATAAGACAGCTTTACTCTGTATCTAACCCCGTGCTGTCCCTGGGAGTGTTTGATAGGGGG